AAAAAAAAAAAAAAGAGTAGGCAAGGATCTCCTACTGCTTCAACTCTTTTCTAAAGTAATGCGTTAGGCTTACTGTGAGCTGACCTTCACTGTCACTACTCACGTGGAACCACAATATATCAGGCCCCATAAAGATTTGTGACAAATAAGAAAATAGAACCCATCTATGATTTTAAGGTGCCATTATGTTTGGTGACTTGGAAAATGTGGTTGTGGGTCTACCACACTGCTAGCCAGCAGGCCTTTCTCAGGATCTCATAATAGTAGTATATTTCTAAAAGTCGGAGAGCTTCCAAAACAAATCCCATTCGGTAAACTCTAAAATAGTTCTTAAACTACAATGTGTATCACCAGGAAAGTTATTAGAAGTGCAGATTCCAGGGCTATACCCCAGACATTCTGACAGAAGTGGGGCCCAGACATTTTTAACAAGCAGCTGAGGTGATTTTAACGATGGTCATCCCTACTTAATATGTAGAAAAACTAAGATGAAGACTATTCTCCCATGCAGCAGTAATAATTATTAATTATTGTTTCTGTTCAGAAACAGAATGCCACCACCTAATTCAAATTAGCATGATCCAGTGGATTACACTACTCTCAATGTAAGTTGGTATTTAGCAACCATAAATATCAGATTCTTATTTCACAAACTTGAGAAAATGTCCCAGAGAAAACTGGGAAAAGTGAAAAAGATTTACATGTGTCATTTACTCTTTTGTGATAACTCCTTAGATCTCATTAATTGGACAGAAAAGGGAAGAGTAGAGAAATTGCTTATTAATTATTTATAGGCCAATATGAAATAATTACCCATAAACATCTTAACATTAAAAACAACTCATTCATATGTGCTGACTTAGGAACAATAGTACTTCAGGCAGGGAATGTGTACTCTCAGTCATTTTTAACCTTCAGCCTACAACAGTACATGAGGACATGGACCCTGGTGCCAGACTGCCTGGGTTTGAGTCCTAGCTCCCTCCTCCACTCACTTCTGTCTCAATTTTCTCATCTATAAAATAGGAATAGTAATAATATCAATCTTTATCAGGAGCTCTGGTGGTATAGTGCCTAAGGTATTTGACTGCTAACCAGAAGTCTGGTGCTTCAAACCTACTAGCCACTCCTCAGAAGGAAGACTGGGCAATCTACTTTCGTAGAGATGCCACCTTGGAAACCCAAGGAGGAGTCGTTATGTGTCAGATTTGGCTCCACGGCAGTGAGTTTGGTTTAGTTTTATTAGGTTGCCGTAGGGATTAACTGAGTTAGTATGTAAAGTGCTTAACAAAATGTCTACTACATAGTAAGCACTATACAAATAATAATTTTTATTAAGATTCTTTACCAGTCTCTATACAGAAAGTAGAGAATCAGAAATGTCTGTTGGTTTATTTATACCCTACCCTGTTTGAGAGAAGGTTGGGCAATCTACTTTCTGTAGTGATACCACTTCGGAAACCCAAGGAGGGGTAGTTAGGAGTCGCATCCGACTGGATGACACATAACAACAGATAATAGCTGTATTTTGGTTTCTTGTCAGATTTCAGTCTCAATCTCATTACCACCTACTATTTTATTTATCAGACTTTGAGATAAAGTGTTCAGGGAAGATTACTTACAGCTATGATATGCTACCTTTTAAATACAGATACATAGGCCTTAACAGAAAATAGAACTGGAGAGAGGGTTGAAAACTTGTGAGAAGATAGAATCCTGCCATTGACACTTACTTAAATATAAGATCATTCCCTATCTATTTGGAGGTGGTGAGCAGAGGAAGTAAAGCTAAAATTCTCTTTAGAAAATGGTTTTGAATCCATCGTAATCAAGATACAAATGAGTGATCAAAGGTCTAACGTAGAAAGTCTAGAACTCTCAATTCAATAGTTACGATAGTGAATAACCATTACCTTGTTGGCTATGGAAATTGCTTTGCTCAGGGCAAAGGGACACGCCTAAGAAAAATTAGAAAACACTTCAAAGAACTCTTATAAATAAAAAGATGTAAAATTAATAGGAAAGATGACATCTCAGAACTATGCAAAGTACTGTGAAAGGATTTTAAGTTTTGATAATATACCACTATAAAGAGATAAAAAAGAAAAATGGTAAACCGACTACATGACTCCAATTTCATGTGTAGACACATTTTAATTCTGACAGCCTATTGAAGCCAGCCCATTTTCCACTTCAAGTAAGAACATTACTAAATCATGATGGCTTGATAATCACTTTACTACAGTGACACTACAAAAAGTAATTATTTTGGTTCCTGTTGATTTAAAATGGTGATCTGATCCTTCTAAGGCTGCCTGTCACATTCCTGATGTCAAAACCCATCTGAATCTCTTTTTTCTGATACCCTAAGGAAAGCCAAAAATACCAAATAATTCAAAGAATCAACCTAAACACTTTAACATTATTTCCTTAAGATTACTGACATGACAAATATTTTGTTACCTATATATTTACATTTTAAAAAGTGTAAAAAAAATATTTTTTTTTTAGAAAAAGGCAACCACTCTAGAAGGTAGAATAGTACATGAGATCTTTGCTGCAACATCGCCCATCTATAATGGTACTTTTACCTGAAAGCTGAAATTAGGTCACTGTGAAAGAGGTACTGTCAGACACAAGGACATTTGCATATGAGTACATCCTTCATTAGGAAGTTCCTACGTGGTGCAAATGGTGAAGTACTCCATTACTATGAGGAAAGTTGGCAGTTTGAACCCACCCAGAGGCACCTTGGAAGACAGGCCTGTTGTTATGTTGAGTCGGACCCAACTCATAGCGACCCCTCTTTGGGTTTCCTAGGCGGTATCACTACAGATGTAGATTGCCCAACCTT